GTTTTCTTAAAAAAAAAAGAATGTTTAGACAACATCTTTCATACAAAAGTGAAAGTTAATAAGCTGATACACGGTAAATTATATCATATGTTAACCCCACATCTTTAATTGTTTACACTCATCTTTAATTTATAATATTTTCTTTTGCTCTTTTAAGAAATAATGGTTTTTTTTTCAGTGGGTGACTCGAACACGAGACCTATTTATAATTATTATTTAATATTGTTTACTCGTACGTTACGCACAAGTATATATTTATAGTGATCCATATTTAGTTTTCTTCATTCCTTATTGGAGGCGGTAAGAGACTTCATGAAGCTTGCAAATTAATTGATTTAACGCCATAAACAAGGCGTGTAATTATATATGGTATTGGACAATTTGTCTTAGATAATTCGTAAGATTCAAAAAGTATCTATACATATATATATTAAAAGCTAACCTATTTACCAAAAACAGTAATAAAAAAAGTCAACACACATTTAATGCATATTTTATTTGGAATTTTTTTACTATATGCATTAAATGCTTGCATATTTACATTTACTATCCAAATATAATCTTAAAGATTTTTTCCTTAAATAATTTATGCAATTATTTTACTGATATCCATTATAATTAATATTTGTCGAGTAATATTTTTTAACCTTTATTTAATTATACAACACTAATATTTTTTTAAAAAAATAATATTATTTATTATTTAAAAGATAATGATCACATCATTAAATGATTTTATTGATGGTTAGATAATAAAATTATATTAGTTATTCTTTAAAATGTCGACATGTTATTTATTTGTATATTATTGTCAACTATGATAGTGTTTTTATCATTTTTTTTTGTTATGTTTCAAAAAATAATTTTTAGTGTAAAATATTTTTCTATTGCATAGTATGTTAAATAAAGCCTTAGGATGAAAAAAAGAATTATTATGAGAAAATTAAATTCTAAAAAACATGTGTGTGTATTTTGTAAACATTTATACTCAAAATTTTATTTTGAATTTCATTACATAAATAATACTACTTCTGTAACTTTTATAAATAATAATACTTACATTATATGACTGTAAATTTTATAATAAAATAATAATTGAGTATTATATGGTGAACAATAATTAATAAAATTTTTATTTTTCTTATATCAATGAATAAATATGTATTCTAAAATAAAATAAATATTAGTATGACGTGTTAGCGGAATTATATATTAATTAACATGTTAATTTTTTGGCTTAAATAAACGCCACTTATTAAAAGATGTGAAATATGGATGATTTAAGCCTATTGTTATTTTTGTCTTGAATGCAAGATATTGACTGGTGATCATGATGGCGACACAGTGTTGATTCATAGAATTAATATTACTCCTTCTGATCTTAGGGTTCCATTTAAGTTTCAACGGCGGCAGTTCCCACTTATGGTTTCTTATGCCATGACCATAAACAAGAGTCAGGCTGTCAGGGACAGTCTTTATCCTACGTTGGTCTTTTTCTAAAGAAGCCTGTCTTTAGTCATGGTCAATTATATGTTGCTGTTTCGCGTGTGACTAATAGAAGGGGGTTGAAGATATTAGTTTGTGAGAATGAAGAGTTACCCGATAATCAAACTCATAATGTTGTGTACAATGAGGTTTTTAGTAATATATGATTGTTTCTTTTTTCAATACTATTTTATTGTACAATTTTCCTGTGTATTGTAAACTTTTATTGAATATTGCATATTAAATTATAATACTCCTCAAATGAATATATCCCGTGTCTCGCACATGTCACGTACTATTTTTTTTTATTCATTTATATAATTATAAGGCTGGATATATGACTTCAAAATTGTGCACCCCGTGCATCGCACGGGCTCTGTACTAGTATATATTAAAAGCCAACCTATTTACCAAAAACAGTAGAAAGAAAAGTCAACACACATTTAATACATACTTTATTTGGAATTTTTTACTATATGCGTTAAATGCTTGCATATTTACATTTACTATCCAAATATGATTTTCAAGATTTTTTTCCTTAAATAATTTATGCAATGATTTTACTGATATCCATTATAATTAATATTTGTCGAGTAATATTTTTCAACCTTTATTTAATTATATAACACTAATATTTTTTTAAAAAATAATATTATTTATTATTTAAAAGATAATGATCACATCATTAAATGATTTTATTGATGGTTAGATAATAAAATCATAGTTATTCTTTAAAATTTCGACATGTTATTTATTTATATATTATTGTCAACTATGATAGTGTTTTTCAGGGGCGGATCCAGAAAATTTTAGTGGGGGAGGCGGTAAATAATATAATTTTCAAAAACATCACGTATTCCATATAATAGAACAAAGATGTACTTCCAAACTTTGCATGCAATTAAAGTTAATTAATTTCACAAAATATAAAACATATTAATAATTCACTCGAACATGTAAAATATAAAAATCCAGAAAAATAAAAGAATAATCTCATGTACGAATTTTCTATAACCATATATCATATATTCCCACCATATTAAATTTCATATCTTTTATGTATATTAAATTTATTTCTCGTATTAAGTTACATACAAGCGTATTTATAGACGACTTACAAGATCTACTTATTATATTTAATAATTAGTACAAGATCTACTTATACCTCTACTAATACTCTTCTTTGAATTCTTTATTTTGAGGTAAGACTATTGATTATCAAAGCCTTAACTTATTTATTTAATTTGAGGATTATTATAAAAATATAAGTTTACTTATACTTGGTAGAAAAAATAAAAAATGTTGGAGGGACAATGGCCTCCCCCAACTTACCTGTAGATCCGTCCCTGGTGTTTTTATCACTTTTTTTTCTTTCAAAAATGAACTTATTGTACAATATTTTTCTATTGCATAGTATGTTAAATAAACTATAAAGCCTTAGGATGAAAATTAGAAAAAATCTCTTGATTATGTAAGGGATTTATTTTTTGGCAATTGCTAAATCATTTTTTTTTTTTAAAAAAAAAAGAATTATTATGAGAAAATTGAATTCTAAAAAACATGTGTGTGTATTTTGTAAACATTTATACTCAAAATTTTATTTTGAATTTCATTACATAAAGAAGACTACTTCTATAACTTTTATAAATAATAATAATTACATTATATGACTGTAAATTTTATAATACAATAATAATTGGTATTATATGATAAACAATAATTAATAATATTTATTTTTTCCTATATCAATGAATAAATATGTATTCTAAAACCAAATAAATATTAGTATGCCGTGTTAACGGAATTATATATTAATTAACATGTTATTTTTTTGGCTTAAATAAACGCCACTTATTAAAAGATGTGAAATATAGATGATCCAAGCCTATTGTTTTTTTGTCTAGACGTACAAGTCCTATAGAAATAATTGATTTATTATATGTATCACGTGCATCGCACGGGGTATGCACTAATAAATGACCTTAAATTGTGCACCCCGTGCATCACCCGTGTTCACATTTTGGCCTATTACAGGTCACGTACCGTTGATGTCTAAAAATAACCAACAATGTGTTCGAACTGTACACTAAGATGTGTACTCTGTTCGGTCTGCACGAATAGAATTTGTGTTTGTGATTCAGTTTAATTTTACTGGTCCGAATGCTCAGTCTATCCGTGACTTATTGAGTAATTAATGAGAGCATTTACTCATTACATTAAATGATGTCCTCCCTCCCTTTTATAGGAAGTTTTTAGGGACTTTAATTTACCTCTTGGGGATTTTTACATCTCCTTTTTCAGGATATTTTTAGATACTAGTCATTCAACATTTAATGCTAATTGTACTTGATAATCTTTTCCCAATATATGAGAGTCGTCCGGATCGTGCCACGCGTCCCTATTTTTTCCTTTGCCGTCGGATAAGAGATTTTCATGTATCTCCGCATTTAATGCGCGCAGTACGACTGGCTCTTGTAATGATTAAACAGATCTCACTTATTCTCTCCCATCCGTTCGGCAGCGGCCCGATCCCGGAGGCATTCGGTTCCCTTCCTTTTTCTTACTGCCATCCTTTCGGTCTGTACCACCAACACGTACTATATATATCCCGTATATTTTTTTTATTCATTTATATAATTATAAAAATAGATAAATAACCTTAAAATTGTGCATCCCGTGCATCGCACGGGCTCTGTACTAGTGGTATTTAAACATAAACAATACGGTATGTAATAAGAGTTAATGCTCCCTTACCCACGCATATGTTAATATGCTAACGTTTATGTGGCATGCACACATTGGTGATGTATAACATTACCAATATGTGCATGCCACATACACGATGAACATATTAACATGTGTCCACCGTGGGTAGAGGAGCATTACCGATGTAATAAAGTATTTAAATGTAATTATTTATCATAAATAGTAGTGTAGATACCAAATAGAATTATATCATATCCAAGCCTATTTCTTTGGGAATATAATTAATATAATTTTTATTCGAGCCAAAGTCGAAGCATGAAATGTTGCCAAGATTGCGAAGCGTGCGAACGAGCCATTTAGGCTCAACACATTTTGAAATTATATAAAGGGAGATTCATCTACTCACATAATTTTAACTATCTATCATTTTTAATCATTTCCAATCATTTTCAATCATTTATCTCATACTTTACATCAAATCAATAGTAACTATTTTATTTTAAATATTATTTTAATACATGATTAAAATCTCACTAACAACTAACCATACCACCTTTTTAAATTTAACTCTAATTAATCAAAATAACTTATTTAAGTAAATTATTTCATAAACAAGCATGAATTAAGACTCTAGATTAGAGATTTTGAAAGATGATGACCATAAAATAAAATGTGTGAAATATGAATTGAATATTTTTTTAAATTTATCTCACATTTAACTCTCTAATCTCTCGCACCCTTCTCTCTCACTCACACACGTTCTCTCTTAGGGTTTAACTGCAAATCTCATCGGTCTCGAATCCGAATCAATGGCGGCTCCGACAGTGTCGAAGGCGAGATCGACAGAGACTTTCGTGGACAATAAGCGGAAGGACGACATACGTATGGCCAACATAGCGTCGGCGCAGTCTGTGGCGGATGCCGTGCGGACCAGTCTCGGACCCAAGGGCATGGACAAGATGATCTCAACCTCGTCGGGCGAGGTGATAATTACTAATGACGGCGCCACCATCCTCAATAAAATGGAAGTTCTTCAGCCCGCCGCCAAGTTCCTCGTCGAGCTCTCCAAATCTCAGGACGTCGTCGCGGGAGATGGCACCACCACCGTTGTCGTCATCGCCGGATCGCTGCTCAAGGCGTCACTTGGTCTGTTGACCTCCGGCATCCACCCTACGATTGTTTCTGATTCCCTCCATAAGACCTCAATCAAAGCCGTGGAGATTTTATCCGCCATGGCGGTCCCTGTAGAGCTCTCAGATCGCGAATCCCTTGTCAAATCTGCCTCTACTTCTCTCAATTCAAAGGTAGTGTCTCAGTACTCCACTCTTTTAGCTCCACTAGCTGTTGACGCTGTGCTTTCTGTGGTGGACCCACAAAAGCCCGATTTAGTGGATTTGAAAGATATTAGGATTGTGAAGAAATTGGGGGGAACTGTCGATGACACCGAACTGGTAAGGGGACTTGTTTTCGATAAGAAGGTTAGTCATGCTGCTGGGGGCCCCACTAGGGCCGAAAATGCTAAGATAGCCGTGATACAGTTCCAGATATCACCCCCTAAGACCGATATAGAGCAGAGCATTGTGGTGTCTGACTACTCCCAGATGGATAGGATTTTGAAAGAGGAGAGAACTTATATTCTGGGAATGATTAAGAAGATCAAGGCCACAGGGTGCAACGTGTTGTTGATCCAGAAGAGCATTCTGAGGGATGCTGTGACGGACTTGTCCCTGCATTATCTGGCAAAGGCGAAGATTTTAGTCATTCGAGATGTTGAGAGGGACGAGATTGAGTTCATCACCAAGACCTTGAACT